TTAAAATTATATAAAAATATTTCAATTACAATATATTTTACTGTATAAAATCGCATAACATTTATTCTAAAATTTTTTTTCTATAACAAATTATAAAATACAAAAGGAAAACCATTGATTAATAATATATCGACAAACTGTACGCAATTAAATGGAGAAACAAACTGTGTATGCTAAGGAATTATTAAATTTGAGAATAAGAAAAATATTATTATGATGTAATATAATGCATTTAATTTTTTTTGGGATAATATATATATTATTCATTTAATTTATTATTTATTTTAATTCATTAAAATATTTCATATATATTACATTAGGAGAATTTTATAATTATTAACAGGTACTAGTAGAAAATACCCTCTTTATATGTTTTCTGTTAAATGTATAGTTTTTTCCCAAATAAATAAATAAAATTGTATAAATTCTTAAGGTTACGTATATCTTTTTTGCGGAGAATACATTAAATTCAATTTATTCAACGTTATTATGCTGAAAATAAATATCTTATTCATATTGTAAATAAGTTTTTTAAAAGATAATAATGAATGATATATTTCTGATAATAATTATAAAGGTACATTGAATTGAATTTTGTATTTAGGATTTTTTTATATGTTAAAATATATTTTTTAATCTTTTTTTGTGTTTACAGAGCTATATATACAATAGAAAATTCTTAAAGATTATATTTATAATGAGAACAGCTATATTTGTCAAGTTTTACATATATTTTATTATGTTATCTTATTAAATGACGTAATCATATTATTCACTGAATTAAATATTTTTTCGTTTAATATTTTTATATTTTGAATAATTATAAATATTTTAAAATGAATAAAAAATATAGAATGAACATTTATCTTTTTTCATTTTATAGATTCTAGAAGACAATATGTGCTATATATATATTATCCATTACATTACATATGTATTATGACATATGAAATCTTATAAATTTTTTATAATGAGATTTTTTCATATTTATATATAATTATTTCCTAATTACGCAAAGTTATATTTAATTACATTATAATGATCCTGCTTTATTGGATATACATAATTATATATAAAGAGTTTATTTATACATTTTGTTTTTAAGTTATTAAAAAATTTAATTAATAATATTTTAAACATTTATATTTATAAACTTGTAGAGAAAAATTTATTGTTAAATATTCTATATAAGCATATGTTTTTTATACCGTGCACGGGTTACCCCTTTTTTTTTTTTTTTTCACGAGTCTTTTTTTGTATATCATTGTAGTTTTACCACTAAAGAAGAAAATTAATTTAAATAATTTAGTAAAAAGCGTTTGAGAATAAAAGAATAATATATAATGAATTATAAAATAATTACGTTTTCATTTAATGTACATGTAATTTATTCGTTCTTGTTTACCTAATATAAAATTTCTTCATATATATGATTTAAAAAAATATATATATATATATTTATTTCATTGTACTCATGTTATATTCCGAAAAATAATTCACATTTACAACTTTTCACTGTTAATAAATGGGAAAAATATTTTAACTTTTGTTACATTTATACGTTTAATATAATAATTCAAATGAAATTTCATTAAGCATAAAAAGTATTTCCTTGTGAATAAAATACATATATAAATATAATCCATATATTATATAATAATGAGACTTATATTTACGCGTAATGTCAATTTTTATTTCATAGACACGATTATTACGAATAAATATTGTAATTTTATGAACCTTATTTCTACTGTATAAGATTTATTTATTATGACAGGCTTGTAATACCCCATCTATTATATATATTATACTGATAATAAAATTCATTAATAATGGCATATGAAGTATATTCTAAATATAAATTCTTTTCGATTTAACTCTACATAACCTTACGTTTATATTTATCTCATATATATATGTTCCATTATGTATTTTTCATTGATTCTTCAGGGGTTCAATACAGATAATCTTCCTTCAAATAAATTTAAAAAAGAATTACTTGAGAAAGCAAATTTGGATAAATTAAAATCATTGATTAGCGCAGCTACTATTGATAACTCTGATGTTTATGAGTGGATTGACTCTTTTAATTCAGGTTATTATATTGGTTATAACAATATAAAAAATTATGTGATACAGGAAATAATCCAGATCAAAAATGCTGTATAGATGTGAATTATTACTTAGATCTAGTAAGTGCAACTATTTATTTATCCAATTTAGTGAATAGTGATAAGAAAAATTCTACAGATATCATAGAAGATTACTGGCAACCACAACTCAACAAGTATGGATATAAGTGTGATAGAAATAGAGATTCGTACTCTACAATTAAAAGGTGTATATTAAAACAAGTACGTGCTTTTCTTGATGATAAATATTATTTGAAAAAAATATTAATTCAAAATCTTCAAAAAAAAAATCCGTATGATGAATACCTTAAAGACAAATGGAACAAAATACTTCAGCGCACAAAATCTACTTTTGAAAATAGGAGCATAAGAATTACTATTAGCGGTATAAATAAATCTATTAAGTACGATGAATTACCTTTGAAATATAATTTTCTAAAGGCCAACTTTTCCAATACTGAAAAAAATAATAATTTAGAGATTTTAATTGAAGATTTAATGGATAAACATCGTCAAAACAGTTCAGCCAGTACTAGCGGAACACATGATATGCACCGCACACAAAGTACTCATGATGAGAACATAAGGGAAGAAGATTTACGTTATACACCTAATGCATTTCCATATAAATTCTTTCTCAATATATGTTATATTATTGTGATAGCTATAATAATTATTATATTATTATATAAGGTAATATAAAATTAATATATACATATAATAATAATAATATAACATAGTTTTACAATTACATTTAATATTAAATAATTACCATTAGATAAATATATTTAATATGTTTTTTATTATTCTAATATTAGTTCATCCCCTTGGGAACATGGATGAGAATTAAAATAAAGGGGAACGAGTTTTTGCAAAAATATATACTCCAAAACACGAAAGATTCTTTAATATTGAATATGGAATACGACAAATATTATATAACCTACAGCTCTTAATAAGTAATTCTAAAAATAAAATTTAAAACAAAAGAATAAATATCATTAATAAAAACATAAACAAATATTTTTTTAGTTTAAATTAATGTCAATTTAAAGAAACTTCCAGACACATATTGTATTAAGAAAAAAACTATATATTTGTTGCAAAAAAAAAGCGTGTTATTTTCTTTATATTTAAGTGCGTGATTTGACAATATTTTAAAAATTATAACATGTATATAATATTCACAGTCATATAATACATTATATCTCATATCATTTAAAATGCTTTGGGATATTTGAGGATTTTCTAATATATACATTTATTCAACTATATTTTTCAGTTTATTTCTTTGCTGTATTTTGGACGGATCAAAGTTGTACTACATGATGTGTGCTAACTTGAAAGAAATAAAAGAAATTTATGTATTTAAAAAATGATATTTTGTTTTGTGAATACATTTTTATTAAATTTTTTTTAATAATAAATTGTGCTATAAATATAAATAATTAACACCAAAAACAACTTTAGGTAAAATACATAAATGTATGAGTATTTGTAGTATTACGAATATTATTATTAAAATAAAAGATATTATATTATCTGCTTTCAGTTAATTTACAACTTCGTATATATCAAGTGCACATTTATAAGTAATTTTAGTGCCTTATATTTATTTAAAGTACTGTTTAGTACGTTAATAAAATCAGAGCTATAATTTATTTCGCAACTCTATATTCTTCGTGCACATGTGTTAGCAGACTCTTGGGCATATATACTCTTTTCTCCATGACCTGTATTAAGGGTAGAAATTTTCTTTTTCATTAAGCTTTAGATTCATATCATTATATGTTTTATATTTTCTAAATATATTTCACTGTTATTCTAAGGATAACCAATATGTATGCCAGAAATATACATATCTGTTCAATAACACATTAAAAAAAGATTTGGTATATTTACTATTATACCTAATTTCATGATAATGGTACATCCAATAATAATTTTTTTCAAAATTGTTCAGTAGATATTGTAATGTCAATAGTTTCTATATATTTTAAATATGACATAGCTTTTATGCACATATCATTATAAGTTCAATGAAATCTTTTGTAAAACCGTTAAAATGATACTCGTAATTTTACTAAATATAACACCATGCGAAGAAAAACTAATATTTTTTATATTTTTCACATAATTAGATAATATATTTGTTAATGAATACTAAAAAGTAAAAAAGAAATATTTATATAACAGAAATTATATTCCATTGGAAAAATATTTAGGGTGCTTATAAAAATGATATTATATAAATATTATTAAAGTTTAATATACATTGTAAAAAAACTAAAAGCATGATAATTTCCCGCATTTTAGATACTAGTGTATATTTATACAATAAATGTATATGATATTATAATATTAATTAATGAATAAGGATATATTTTTAAGAATATATATAAGTAGTGCAAATAAAAAGATTCTTCACTTTTATTTAATCATAAAATTGATTTAAAAATGTTTTACATGTTTGGACTCATTGTACATAATTATGCTTCCAGTTTTAAGGGTCAAAAATTTTTGTTATTATTTTATGCTACATGGTTCCTAATATATTTTTTATCATATATCATATTTTATTTTAGTTATAGGTTTTTCAATTAATGTTTAAATGTTAGTATTATTATGCATAATATTATTAATTTTTATTAATACATATCATTGTAATTTTACTTTATACATATATATATCAGCGTTACCACAAACATCATTAATTATATTTTATAATATAAAGGACATTGTAATACAATAAAAAATAATATTTTAAATAAACATATACACGATATATTTATTCATTTATTCATAAATAATTATTTACGTATAATATAGGAAATATTATATTTACTTATATTTTTTTCATATATAATAATAAATATAGTATCAATTGTATATATCATATGCATGGGATGTTATATTTCATATATGTTAGAATTTATTATAACATAAATTTAACAGATTTATAAAATAATATAATGTTATATATTAATACATTTACTGAGAAGGTTAATGAATTTATTCATTTTATTCATAAGGTGTTATTTAATATTGCATATATATTAAACACATAATATATGTTTTGCATTATATTCAAGTTTCTTATGCATGTTATGTACAATACTATTTATTGCATTTATTATATTATACTTATCCTTTTTCGTTTTCAATTCAAATACTAAATTTTTTCTCTGTTTGTTATGTTTACATTTTTATTATATATACTGTTGTAGTGTTTTGAAAAATGTATCGTGAATGAAGAAAATATTATGTATTTATATATAAAATGTTAAAAATTAAAGCATAAAATTTTGAACCATAAGGAGTTTAAAATGTACTATGATTGGTGTTATTATTTAACTACATGGCTTCATGAATTATTGCATTAATTTTATAGTATTTTTATAAATTTTCAGAACTCCTACTTAAATTGTGAGGGACATTGTATAATAATTCCTCATGAACATTGTTTTCCCATTTTAATGTACTCTTCTATGTTTTTTTTCGATAACAGTATTATGATTTTAGTGATATAGTTATTACGCAGAATTATATATTTATTTTTATGTAATACAAATACATAATAGTAGAAAAAGAAAATTTTTATTAACTTACTTTTACACAAAAAAGATGAGTATTTAGAAGCATATAACAAATATAAAATTCAGGGTGGAAAAACTAAATGGTTATATTTGTTATATTAAAGGGGAATATAGACTTCTATATATTAAAATTTTTAATGATGATAAAACATTTATAGAAATTAGAATGTGAAATTACCTGAGATAAAAAATTACAAAATATAGTTTTTATATATATCATTAATTAATAAAACATATTTATTTTAATAAAAATTTATACTCTATTATTAAAATAAAACATTCCATATAAATAATAATTTATAATATACAATGTTAATGAGAAAAAATGATCATATTATATTTTTATAAAGGTATAAATTGAAATATTTTTCTTATTTACACATTCAACTATAGTTTTTGCAGTGACTAATTTTATTTCACATTGAAAAAATGTTTCCAGTATGGACATGTTATATTATTGTCTCTTTTTGATTAACATTAATGACACTGCTGTGTATCTTCATATTCATATTTGTTATATTACATATTTCTAGAAAATAATGCTATACACATATTTTATAAATATATTTTTCTTTCATCCTAAAAATGAAATAATCCATTTAGAAATATTGTACATTAACATATTATATCACAAAATTTTAAAATATTATGATATTGTGTAATTTATGTAAGTGAGCAAACATAATTTGAATACATAAGACAAGATAGTGCAATATTATATATTATTATTAGAATAACATTCCATCAATTTCTTTTAGTTATAAATCACTCCTTTTAGATTACTATAAATACATATACAAGAATTAACCTTTCCGTATATTGTTATATATTCCTCAAAAAATTGCAAGAACTTATAATTCTTTTATGAATAAACCACTATAACTTGCTATCTTGGAATTATGCTTTACAATACGTCCTATAAACACGATTTTTTTTGCATATATTTTTTTTTGTTTATTATCTACATCCCCCATCAATATTCAAGTTTACATAATTTTTATTTGTTAAATCATATAAAAAATAAAAATATTATATTTATATTGATTTAAACACAAGCATATATAATATGACGCATAAGGAAAAATGACAAATGTAATATATTTTACACAACACTAAAAATGTTATAAACGAATCTTTGTTAATATCATTAATATAAATGCCTTTAACTCATATTAAATGTATTAATATATTTTAAAATATTGTAATAAAAAATAATGTTAGCACAGTTATATGATTTTAATAATTAATTTTTTCTGAAGTATCTTTAAAAAGAAGAATATAAATATCATAACATATAAAAAAAATATTTTTAATCACATATAATCATTACTTGTTAAAACTATTTTTACAAGTTTTTTGTACAAAACCTTATATTCTAACTAATAAATAAAATTAAAATTATGTATCTAATTCATTTAAAAAATTTTCACAATTCTCTAAATTTTCTTTTATGAGTATTACTCCTTTTTAAAGTAATTCTTACATTTTTGCGAACTGGGTTTACAATAAATCAAGGAAAATTTTGATATATTTATTCTAACATATACTCATTTAATGCATTGTGGATGATATATATATTTATATTTTAATTAT